GTGACAAACCAGATGTGAGGGTCATATTTAACCTACTTAAGAGAAAAATCCCATTTGCTGCGTGGCGCCTAGAGCGCAGGGGTCATTATGCCCGCCTCATTAAAGCGCGGCCAGCGGAGCCCTTCCTGGCACCGCCAGCCCCGTCTGCCCTTGAGCAGAGAGAGCGGGCGTTCCTTAGCGCACTCCTTCATTGTACCTCTGCGTTCGTCGGGGTTGGCCTTTGCCCATCGCCAGGTCTCAGTATCATCTGGGGCAGCGACACAATAAATGAGATTCTTCCACGATCGAGCCCCTCTCTTGGATATTATTCCTGAGAGGGTGGCCGAGGAAAGGAATCGCTTTTGTGGCTAAAGACGGCGCCATTTGTAATCTACATATTGCAATTAAAACCACTCAAGGATTTGACTTCCGTTAATTTTAATTGAAGTGTGCGCGGGTGGGGATTAGGTGAACGCGCAGATGTGCACAAAAATTAATATGAACCCGGAGAAATGTCTTTTCTCCGTACAAGGACTGACCAAATGTTCACAGATGGAATCGAGAGGACCCCCCTTGAACACGCGGGGCGGCTCACTGGGGTCATCTCGGCGGCGATCCCCTTGCCCTGGGAAAGCTGCGCCCCTTTCTTTTTCTTTATAGCTGATCCTCACACCCGATTAGTTGATGTCTTTGATTTGCATTAGTGCACCTAAATGAAAGTAAAAACAAATTAGTACTTTCAGTACTAATTTGAGGCGATCAGTGGCTCTCGGCTCACAGAGACATTAACCACAGTTGTGTCTGGAGTCCGTTGAGATGCTCGGGATAAAAGTAAACCAGGAGAGAAAGGGAGAGGAGACCGTCCCGGACACGTTTTGAGCTTTCTGAGTGTCAGGAGTTGTGAAGAGTTCGAAGCCGAGAGGGCAGAAAGCTCTGGAAAAAGCGGCTTCGAGGGGCTTTCCTTTCTGAGAGATGGGCCGCGTGGGCTCAGAACAGACGTGCACCGGGACATTTTGAATAAACAGCGGGAGATGAATTGATATATTACATTTTTAATTTTAACACAGTTTTTTCAATACCTTTAAATAAATGATGAAGCAGCACATACACACTCGAAACACGCCGCCTTACCCTTCAATAATAATTTATGGCACTAAAGCACCGTATCTCACTCTCTGCAGCGTTCTATGGGAAGAAAGGAGCAAAAACTGAAATTAAAATCCAGCTACAGAAGCCGTGTGAAAGGCTTTTAACTCTTCAAGTGGATCTGATAACGTTTTGAAGACAGGGAAATACGACAGCAAGCTGACGTCTAGTAAGGACGATCGCGGACCACTTCCTGCGGGGAGGGGCCAGGGCCACTCACCCAGCGGGTCCCAGGGCCCCTGGGGCCTTGTCTGCAGCACCAGGGCACCGGCAGCTGCCAGGCTGCGTCACACGGCGCCGGGAACCCCCACCTTGGCGGGTCGGACCAGAGCCCCGGCAGGCTCCGCTGGGAGAGCGCCGGCTGGCGGCTCGGGAAGGCCTCCTGGCTGGGGGCCGCGTGGCAGGCCTGTCGAGGGGAGGCGGGGCGCTCACAGGTCACAGGCCGGCACCTCGGGCTCGGGGGGCTCCTGGCGGCCTGGCCGGGGCTCAGGTGATGGGCCTAATTAGCTCATCTGTTCACGGATTCCATTTTCTCGCTCCCGACACTGGCGGTTCTGAGAAATCAAGATACATTTGGCATAATTATGAAGAGTTTCGAACATCTCTTTTATGAATTTCACAAGTCCTCCAAATTCTCCAGTTGAAATATTATTCACTGAGGCACAGGGGTCTGAGTCGGTCGCTTCGACGCTGGCAAAGATGATGAACTGAATTCCGGCGGGATCGCGCAAGTCTGAAAAATCCAAAACGTTTCATCATTTCTACCCATATATTTTACTAATTGGATGAATGTTTTAATTTGATTTTTCCCCCTGAAATTCCCTACAAAGTGGCCCGGTGCAGACTCCTGACTTCCTGCCTCCGCCAGGCCTCTGCGACCTGGCTCTGGGCTCCTCCAGGCCGCTGGGGTGACTCGGGGTCTGGGACCAGCACGGGCCCGGTGCTCCCCACCGCCCGCCCGGGGGAGCGGAGGCCGCGCTCACGGCCTCGTGCCCCCGCTCCGGTGGGGCGGCCCTGGCCTCCCCGGTGGCGGCTGTAAGGTGTGGGCTCTGCGTCAGTGATCACGCACCTGTGCACTCCGGCCGCAGCGACCGTCGGGGCGGCCCTCTCCCCACCCCTGCAGGCTCCGGGCCCAGGCGGTCAGGCGGCGGGCAGTCGAGGCTCAGAAGGCCGCCTGGCCCTGGAAACGTCAGCCTCACGGGGAGGCCGGGGGAGAGGGCCAGGCCGCTGCCCCCAGCGGTGTGGCCCCGCGCAGACCCGTGGCCTCCAGCTGCGGCTCCAGCTTCTCCCTTTCATTGGTGGGAACTGGAGAACGGCCCCTCCGCCGTCCGGGCCGAGCTGGGCGCTGTCTGGGAGCTGGCCCGAGCCCCGCGCCGCCCCCCTCAGCCACGTGGAGAAGCTGCTGGAGGGCTGGACATTCGCGGCCCAGCGGCCTTGGCCGCGGAAAGCCCCTGCGAGAGCTGGCCTCTGAGGCGCGTCCAGCTGCAGATGCTTCGCGGAGGCCCAGCCCGGGCGACTGGAAGTGGGGTGCGCCCGCCCTGGCCTGCGCACTCGCCACGCCCGCGTGAGCCCCGTGGAGCTGGGCAGCGGCCTTCCCGGCCCGGCCGCTTGAGAGTAGATGGTGACCGCGTCCCTCGGCACGCGTCGAGACAGGAGAGATGAGACTCACGTAACCAGCCTGCACGCTTAGGTCCCGCGACCTCTGCTGTTAGGAACATCGCCGCGGCCGCCCGAGGCACAAGCTAGGGGGATCTCCTGAAATCCACTGCTGAGGGGGCGTCAGGAGACAGGAGGGGTCTGCTGCACCCTGGGGTCCCTCCCTGGCCACGGTGGGGTGCAGGCAGTAGGTGGTAACGCTCAGATTTGACCCCGAGGCCCCAGGGAGGCAGAGTTTGCAGCTGCCTTTACACATTGTTGTTAAAACTATTCTTTGGTAGTCTATACTTTTTATTCTCTGTGAATATTCCTCTTTATTATGTATTCTGTGTTTTGTTTTTCTTACGTAGGAAAATCTAGTAATGTTCAAAACCCTTTGATCACAAACCTCTGACCTGTCAGTTAGTGATAAAAGTGATGTAGTTTACTAGTTTCCAAAGGAGAGAGTGCAGAGAGTGATGTACGTGTCCCATCTTTGCAGCGTTTCTTCCAGTTTTTGTCTGGGCTTACTGAATCGGCTAGAAAGTTAGTAAGGTTCCTTATTTTGTTGGGAGTTTTGTTGGGAGTTTATGAGTTTATGATGAGGTATGTTAGAGAAGCAAATTTTCATTTTACTGTGTGAAGGAAATGCCCTCTTCTCTCTGTGTAGTCATGCTTCCTGCAGGCGTTGCTGTCTCTGGATGTCGTGATACAGTCTCGCGGAGCCGGCTTTCTGGGATCGAGCCAGCCCTGCTTTCCTGGGCCGCCCACGCAGCCGTCACTCCACAGGCGGCCATTCTCCCTGTCGCTCAGGTCCCGCCTCAGGCCACACGAAGGTGCCCGCTGTTCTCAGGTAGGGCTTGCTGCAGGTTTTCCCTTCTCCGTCTGAGAACGGAGTGTGCGTTGGCTCTATTTTGTCAGGCTTTACATTTCCATTTTTGCCACTAAATTAGGACAAGTAGGATAATCTGAGATGACCAGAAGAGTATACACACACATACATACATATACACAGCTACACAACACATACACACAGGTCTACACGTGTACAGATACACTCATAAACACAGTACACATACGTGCAAGCACAAGCATGCATGACAACACACATACACATTGCACAACATGTACAACACACATATACACAATACACACATGCAACACACACACACACATTTTGATTTTTTTGGTTTGTTTTATAAAAATGGAGAGGTCAGTGACTTGAAGTCAGTAATCCAGTGACACATGCGTGACTATCCTCCAGGCTAATAAATCATGCAAACGCATTTTTAGAAAGAGCTGATGCTCCTTCCTGTGCTTGTAGCCTCGGTTTTTGGCTCCGGCCTCTACTGAAGTTCATCAGGTCGTTTTCTGCTTGTCTCAGACAACTCTGCACAGCGCCAGAGACGACCACGCAGCTGGGCATTCACACGGTGGGCAAGCTCTCAGGAGTGGAAACGCCTGCGCTCAGGGATGGAGCGTGGCACTGCGGGGGCGGCCCACACGTCTCCTGAGTGTCGGTCACCACCGGCCCCTCAGCGGCACGTGGGAGAGCCCCTCCGCGCCCCGGGCAGCACTGGCGGGTGCCGAGTCGGGGCCCCTGCCTGGGGGCGGGGGACCACGCCGCCGGGCTGCGCCCAGTGCCTCGGTTTGGACTCGCCACTGCGCCAGAGTCTTTCTGCTCGCACGACGCAGGTGCTCGTCCGGGTCTCTGGCGGCTCTGAAGTCCGCGCCTGTCTGTCCGGTGGCTGGGCCTGCCCGGCGGGGCCCCCTCTCCGCGTTCCGGGCGTCTCCTGCTCCCGCCTCCCGGGGGCTCCCCGGCCTCCGAGGTGCCTCGTGCGCCGCGTGCCCGGCCCGGTCACTGCCTTGTCCTTCGCCGGTCTGCGCTCGCGGTCTCACTTGGGAGCCTTTGCACGACAAATGTTGGATAAAATTCCTGTGACATTTGACACATTCATGTATTCACTATCCAATGAAACTGACCACACTGACCTACCCGTCCATTTTGATGTTTAATTAAATTTCGGGTGTATTGCAAGTTTGACAATTAAAATAAACCAAAATAAAGACTAGATTTTGGATTCACGTCACAATTTTGGTGTGTTCAGCTCCTTGATACCCGGCTTCTGAGTGGAGGGCCCGTGCCCACTCTGGTTTCTGAGCAGGTGACCCCCGCAGCGCGGTGTCATCTCGTTTCGGCGGTGAGCGACTCGCCGCTTCCT